ACAGGTTCCTGCCTCTCGGGGCTGGGACCTTTCGGGGCGCCGATGGGGCGTCGCCACGCCTCGTGGGCCCGGGCCCTCTCGCTGCTTATGGTCTGGCTCGAGAAGCCCTTCGGGGGGCCTGGCACTGCGGTGAGCTCACCGTGTGGGGGCCTCGGGGTGACCGCACGGTTTTGGGACTTCTGGGTCGTCCTGCGAGGATGTACGTCGCGGATGGCTGGCGTCTGTGGAGGAGGCCGGGAGCACCTTGCAACATCCAGGCGGGCCCCAGAGGTGTCAAAAGCAATCCACGTCGGCCGGCTCTTGAGCAGGCCTCTTCCTGGTTCTTCGTTCTCCGCCAGAGGTCATGCTTAGATGTTTGCTGCCAGCCCGGACCTGTTGGGCAGCCCACTGGCCACGGCCCCAGACGAGCTTGAGGCAATGGGCCCAGAGCAACAAATGCAGGCCATAGGAGCAATGACTCCTGAAGAAAAGTGCGCGTTCTTTGTGGAGGGCTCCACCAAGCCGGTCAGCAAGAGCGGGGGTGTCAAGGAGTGCGCTTGCGAGACCAGCGGCCATGTCCTCGGCACCGAGTTCGGCGAGGAGGCCACAACCCCAGGCGCCGAGTACGGAGATGATTGGTGGTATTTCTACACGGAGAACTCCTACAAGTGCATGCCCAAGGTGGAGAGGCGGTACCGCGAGGCCATGATGGACATCCTCCACGTCGAGGAGTTCGCCAATGGGAACCCCTCCCTGCACTTCAAGAAGGTATGGTACTACTCGATGGCGCTGGCCAGCGCGGGGCAGCCCGTGCGGGACGCTTCTCGTGTGCCGCTCGATGATCCCGCTGATGCGTCGCAGTTTGACTGTGGTTCGCGCGAGGACGCGGTTCCGGACCTGGGCGAGGCGTGTAATTTGGCTAAGCAGGCGCTCCAGAAGCACCCAACCGAGGCGACCGAATGCTTGGAAACGATTCGCAGCCTCGAGTTCGCCCAGGCCGCCAACATAGTGGACGCGAAAGACATGGTGAAAGCTATGGAGCTCGTGACCGAGACTGCCAGAGCCTTGAAAGAGGGCAGTATGGATGCAGCAGTGGAGAAGGCGAAGGCGGTATTCGAAACGTTAGTGGTCATGCTCGGGGCCGTAAGGCCAACTGTCGAGGCAAATGTCCCACCGTTCTGAGGTCGGTTCGGCGCCCTCCTGGTGACCAGCATATTAAAGCTATCCCACGAGACATCTCATCATCGACTCCATCATGGGCTGCTGCTCACTTTCACGTGAGAGCTCAATTATTTCCTCTCGCTGCCTCTTGCTTGCTCACCGCAGCTTGCGGCTTGCGCAGTGTGCCTCCTCCATGCTGCCACTCGCGACGGGCAGAAAAAATACATGCTGGGTATTAACGCTCGGCTGCACATGTGGAATTAAGCTGTTGTGGAGAGCAGCTCCTGCAAATCTCCAATGCCGTGTTAAGGGGAGCTCGAAGTATGCATTAGTTTCCTTCGAAGTGTTGCCGACCTTTTGAAGCGAAATCTCGTCTAGCACCACGACGGTTCCTCAAACGTTTTCGAAGATCATTCGCCGCCGGTCGTGGTCTACGCTCTTCTTTTAACAAAGGTACAGTTTGACAAAGCCATCGGGAGCCCGAGAAAGACATGCCAACACCTTTCTAGAAGCAGAAGTCGAAGTTCACGAGTGAAAGCAGTCTCTGCGATGTGTTTGGTCGGTGACACATCTGTTGTGATACTATCGCAGGTAGTTCTGCTCGAGTTCCTCAGGGATCCCGATGGCTGTTACAAAGCAGGCTGGAAGTGGAGCAGGATATGGGAAGCGCGTTGTACATACATTGATTACGGTCAGGAGCGTTTGCTTAGCGTGTTGTTCCGCCAGGCCTGGCCCACCACGCCTCGGCACGACACGCTAACCATGTCATGGTCCGGAGGCATCAACTTCCCGAGCCTGTCCCAGCCTTCCACCCCGCGGAGGGGAGCAACACGCTAGCTGCGTTTTCCCGCAAATAAGGTTGGTCCACCCGTGTACATGTTGTGACAGTTGTTGCTCATTGGGCTCGCAGAGCGGGAGACACGGCGGGATCCCACGGGGAAACGAGCACGCACAACCACGAAAATGTGATTGTTCTTGGGATGGCCTCGAGACGCTCATGAGGTAACTTGGAGGGGCTTTCTTGGCGCGTTCTTGGGTGGTCTTGGGTTTCGCATTGGTCTTGGGGAGTGTCGGGGTCGTCTTGGAGGGGTCTTGAACCGTGTGTGATGTGTCCGGGGGCTGTCATGGAAGCCAGTTTGGGGGGTTCTGGGCCCATCTTGAGGCCATCTTTAGTTTCTTGGGCCGTCTGGGCATCTGTCGGGGGCTCTCTTGGGGCTGTGTGAGGGCCATGGTGGGTCCTGCCGTCCATAGATGCCCGCGCTGGAGCTGATACCGCGTCATCTTTTGGGAGCTTCGCAGCCTTCTTGGAGCCCTTCTGGGCTTCACTTGGAATTATCTTGGAGCTATCTTGAGGCCACAGAAAAACATTTTACGCTAATGGGAAAGCGACAATATAAGGAATTGGGCGTCTTCTGGGGTATCTTGGACCATTTGGGGCTATCTTCGTGCTACTTTCGGGCCTCTTGCCACTGTTTTGGGGCAATCCTAGGGCCTGCCACACATTGATTTTGGCTGTTGGCTTGATCTTGGGCCATCTTCTGGCCCTCTTGGAGCGCTCCTGGAGTTTTTCGGAGCCCTCTGGGGTCCCTCCCGGCCTTCTCTGGCAGCTATCTTCGGCAATATTGGAGCCAGCTTGAGGCTTCAGAGGCCCATCGGAATGGGAATGGCGAGAAACCAAAACCACTGAGCAACCACATCTCTTTGAATGAGGCGTGCCTCTTCTGAGCATCCTTGGGAACCTCCATAATCACTTGGAACCGGTAAGAAATATGCTAGCACCTGTGAGAAGTATGCTGGATGCTACCTGGCTGTCTGGAAGGACCCAGTGGCCGTGTAGAACGCGTCTTGGAGGCCTCGTTGGTGATGTCAGCGGCGCCTCAACAGCTTTTCAGGCCACGCCCGGGTGTTCCGGTCTGTTGCCGGAGGGGCAGCGCATCCCAAAATTTGTTTGGCGCCCCTACGCGCGCAAACTAGAGAGATGCGCAAGTATCTTCTTCTTGCTGGAGAGAATGATTTAGGCCCGTTGGGACGGCGAATGGATTCGCATTGTTGTGGCAGCCAGTTGCATGGCACGGTGGGGTAGCGTTTAACAAGTTCAACGTTATTTGCGATTGCCTGTTCAATGTGCAAACGCCCGCGTGAGAACAATAGGGGTAAGGAAGTGGAGGAGGAGGAGGAGAGTCCGACAGCAAAACCAAAACGCCAGGGACCACCAAATTGCCAGACCCCGGTGTGTCCAGATTGCCATGCGGGAGGTGAGAGGGCGGAGGAGGAGTAGAGGGAGGAAGAGGGTGGGGGGTGGCCGTGTGATAGTCGCCCTTCCGTGCCGAATGCAGGACAAGGAGGAGAGTGGCTGGCGGCAGCCGCCTCGGCGCAGCGGCAGCACGGGCGCGGCGCGCACAATTGAAGACCCCCGGCAGCTTCTGAGAACCTCTGGCAGCAGAAAGACCGTTCAATCGGAGGAGCAAGAGGTCATGAGGATGATACGCTCCAAGATTTCCAGGATTTCCTAGATTCCCTCATGTTCAACACGAGCTGCAGAAACGAGGGCCGCTAGATGCTCTTGGAAATCCTGAGGCACATCCTGAGCCAATATTATCATGACATGTTTCCCGTCCTACTCAGGGCTGAGCGGCCCAGGCGGTGACAGAGTCCAGAGCCCCTGCAGCCGTGGCAATGCGGCTGACAACTTTTAGTTCACGTGTCGCTCCGCCGGTTCTGGCCCACCGCGCTTGTGCGCGAAACCATGCTATCCACGTCGCGGTCCCCAAGAGCCACCGTCCCGGGCATTTCCCCGCCGCCCGCCCCGCGGAGCGGAGCGACACGCTATCCGCTCGCAGGGTATAGCGTGTCGCTGGGGCCGCCGCCGCGACACGCTAAGCCAAAGTTCCCGACCGTAACCTGCTGCGCGGTTGGAAAAGCACGGCTAACGGCGGGATCCTGGGGCTCTCAATTCTCATCTGTTGTAGGGATATTCCGCCATGTTTAGGTTTCTCCTGTGAGCCCCATGGCCAGCTGCGAAGGCCCAGGCTGGAAAGGCCAGCTGTCCTGACTCCTTTCGGGACGCCAGGGGGGGCCTGGGAGAACAGCCGCGTTGGTCACCAGGAGTTGCCCCCTCGATCTGACCCTGCTCTTCGCCAGCGTCGCCCAGCGTCAGCCCACCATCTTGTCAGAAAGATTGCCCTTGGTGATTGCCTTAACTAGGACTTGTGATTGTTGAGCCAAAATCATCATTGGGTCGTGGGTTGGCCTCCGATGTCCTGATGATGAGGCTGATGAGGCCGCAGGTGATGGCGAACATGTGCCAGCAGGTGCGGTGCTATGTGTAAAGAAGATCTGGCTGGGTTGTACGCCGCTGAGAGGAGTTCGATCTCCAGTGGTCTTCAATCAACGCCTTCCATCGCGATGGACGCACAGTGCATTAGTGGCATGCCACGAGCGGAAACTATCCTCGGCTCTATATACAGCGCAAATGTTTATATGTCCAGTCTATGTGTGTATGTATGTATGCATGGATGTATGTATGGATGTATGTATGCATAGGTATGTATGCATAACTCTGTGCATACTTATATATACATGTGTGCGCGCACGGTGAGAAAGGGCATGATGACTACGACGCTAGGTAATCACGATGAATGTGACGTCGCCGTGGAGCGCAGTAAATGAGGAGAGGGCCAGCCCTGGCGCTACACGCCACTGCGCAGGTTTGGTTCTTCGCTAGCTTGCCTGGTTGCAGCGAGGTGTACATTATCATATGAATCCGCTGCGCTACTACATCGTCTCCAAAGTGCAGATATGCATCCCCACTGGGATGGCAGGGCCTCCGGCCGACGCGCCCCCCGGCGCGTGCGCGCGAGGCATTCGAGGCCTGGAAGGCACGCCCAGAGGACCGAGACGGAGAAGTCTTGGCTCCACCCCGGAGGGAGAGGCCGGGAGAGGGAGGACGAGCCCGGCCGGCCACAGGGGGGGATGGGTAAAGGGGGGAGGGTCCGAAATCTGCAGCATACGATTGGTTTCGGTACCGCCGACGGACGCCTTCCTCGACACGTCGGCGACTCCGTCGCAGGGAGACGCCAGGGAAATCAGCTACATATCCGTGAGCTGATTCGCTAATCCCCCCCTTCCGTCCGACCCGATACGCAGGGGCGCGCGCGGACATTCGTTACTGTCTTCGAGGTGTGCCGTCGGCCCAGTCGGAGGGGTTAGGACGAGGATAAATCCGTTCCAGAGCGTTCCGAAACGCTGTCAGAGCATTCTGGAACGCTTTCAGAAGGCCGCGGCGCCCGAGAGATCCTCCAGAGCCGCCAGATCTCAGAGACTCTCGATTCGCTTTCATCCGATGTGATCCTCGTCCTTGTTTCGTCCTACCCAGAGCTCTGACGTCGAGGTGCCTTCGCACTGGCGGCTCATCCTCGGTGTCGGCGTCCAGTTCCCTGGCACCGTCGACGGCCGTCCAGGACGACGAGCTCGTCCCCGTGGAATGGGTCGAGAGCTCTGGTCGGGCGTTGCTTACTGGAGGGGGGGGGGGGGCGATAGGTGGGGGGGGGGTCAGAAGGACAGTTATAGGATTGGGAGGATGTGGCTGGGAGAAATGATCATATCAACAATCTTGCCGCGTATGTTGAGGGTACTGGTTGCACAGTCGTGCCCTGTATGTTTCCAACCCCTTCCTCACAACACGAGAATTGTTTTCTCCAGGGGTTGAGAGCGGTGCACCTTTCATGCACTTTCGGGGCCCTCTGGGGTCCAAAAAAAGCACGAAAGGTACACTTTTCTTCGCCCCCCACTTGTCGCTCCCCCGTGAAGCAAAGCCTAATCGGGGGACCGTGCACTTGGGGGGCTTCCTAGAGGGGGCGGTGACCAGGGGGAATATCAAGGCTGGAGCGATGATATTTCCCCAGGTGTCATGGCCCATAGCCCCTCTTATTATTTCAATGCGTTCCCTCTCCCCCCCCTGGTCCGCACACATGCCTCGGGCCATGGTTTGCGAAACCCGCCTCTTGGACATCCCCCTCGGTTGACGCCCCCGTGCGATGTGTGGGCTCCCCTGCTCCTGCTCCTGCTCCCCCCCGCCCTCCCCTCCTCCCCCTGCTCCTGCCCCCGACGCGTGCAGTGCGGCAGGCTGCGGAGTGCCTCGCTCGGCTTCCTCCGCCAAGAGCCGCCTGCCGCCCAATTCCGCGGGCCGTATCACCGCCATGCAAAATCCCTCCCCCTCCTCCTCCTCCTCCTCCTCCTCCTCCTCCTCCTCCTCCTCCTCCTCCTCCTCCTCCGCCTTCTTACCTTCATCCTCTTCCATCCGCTCCTCCGAATCCTCTTCGTTATCCTCCCAGGGGGGTGAGGCGCGGGAGGAGCGAGAGGGAGAGAGGAGGAGGAGGAGGAGGAGGAGGAGGAGGAGGAGGAGGAGGAGGCATGGGGGGGAGGAGGATAGGGGGTATAGGAGGGGGAAAGGAAGAGGGGAAGGAGGAGGGCCGAGGGAGGAGTAGGAGGAGTAGGCATTGAATGGAATAGCACGCATGGTTCTGTATGATCCGAGGTCCGATGGACGTCAAGAAAAAAACACGGCTGGAGCTCCCAATCTTTTCTTTCTTCAGCGTTTCTCGAGCCAGGACGGTCCCCGTGGATCTCAGCAACCGCTCAAAGGACCCCCGTTGCTTCGCAAAAGTAATGCTTGACAGTGCGGTGCGGCTGCCTTGTATTGGAGGGAGGGGCGATATATAGAGAATCAGTTATGCGACCGATTTCGACACGCATATAAGTGGCATAAGAGAAGGCAGTGGGATGATGGTGCCCGTGACGATACAGCTGCGCCGGTCACAGGGACGTCGCACATTCCCGTTGTGGCCCCAAAATGCTTCAGGAGATGTCTTGATGGAGTTGGTGCAGTTCTTTGTCCATGTTGCAGATAGCAGTCGATTGCGACGATCATAAATTTCAGCGCTACATTGCAATACAAGCACGTGGTGATTGTTATGATGGAAGCCGTGTGCGCCGTGTGCAGTGGCAGGTTTGACTACATGGTTCTGGATGCTGCCCAGAGGCGCGCTTGAATTCTCATCTATTGACCGTGCTTCCCTGGATATGGGCCATGTCTAACGCTTGTTGGTGCCAATCGCATCAAGGGGGCATGGAGCAGAGGAAGGTGAAGCAATGAGAGTTTGGAGAGAACAGAGTGATTCGAGGTAGGTGGGGAATCCAAGGATGTGTGATGCATTGGGCTTCCCAAAGGACTGCATCTGAGAATGTGCAAGAAGCCAGTGCGACTGCCTTCAGTCCCATCGGTCCACGGGGTTACCAGGGGCAGCCCCAGGGCCCTCGGGGGTTACACGGGTGCCACACGGGTTCCATGGGTGTCCAGGGCTCCTGACGGTAAGAAGTCGAGCTCGCCAAATATGGAAAGTCTGACCCGTATGAAAGCTTCAAGGCTTGATATCCACTTAGGGTGCGAGGTTTGTTCGAACTACCTGATTGCTCCGGAGAGTCCCGGAGTGGTCCATAGCGCTCCTGAATGGCCGCAGCACCCCATACATCCCTTGGATTTCCAGCCTTCATGGATCCTTCAGTTGCTCGGGTCCGAAATTTTCGGATATTACCTTGGTGTTGACCTTCCTCTCCCTCCTTCGTTCCCCTTTCCTGCCTCCCCCTGCCCTCCCTTGACACGCACCCTGACCCGAAGCTGTCGATGTAAAGAGGGCGGGTCGGAAAGGGGGGGTCGGAAAGACGGGGATCGGCAGACAGGACAAGAGGAGGAAGGGGTAGACGGAAAGGAGAAAGGGAGGAGGAAGAGACGGTGGAGGAGCAGGAGGAGGAGGAGGAGGAGGAAGAGGCGGGTGAGGAGGAACAGGAAGCGGAGGAGGAAAAGGAGGAGGAGGAGGAGGAAGCTGAGGACGAGGACGAGGACGCGGAGGAGGGAACATGAGAAGCAGATGCAAGGAAGAGGCATCAGGATGATGAGGGCAAGGAGGACGAGGACACCAATGAGCAGTCCGTTCACGCGTTGCAGAGCTGGTTGCGATCAAGGATGTGCCGTGGACATGCACGCTTTGGCTCATTTGGGGTGCTCACGAAGTGGGCTCCCCGAGTTCTCGCCCCCTCATCCCCTGGATCGTCCAGGAACACCCCCTGGACCGTCCGCGAGCTTTCCCCCCGCCACAGAGGGCGTGCGAGAGAGACATGGAGAGAGAGAGAGAGAGAAAGAGAGAAATAAAGAGAGAAAGGGAGAGAGAGAGAGAGAGACAGCGACAGAGGGGAAACAGCAACTGAGAGAGAGGCGTATACCTACATGCATACATACACACATGCGTACGTAACATACATACATACATACATACATGCATGCATGCATGCATGCATGCATACATACATACATACATACATACACACATGCATATATGCATACATGCATACATACATGCATACATACATACATACATACATACATACATACATACACATATATATATATATACACATGCATAAATAGATGCATGTATGCATCCATACATACATCAACACATACCTACCTACATACATGCATACATGCATACCTACATACATACATACATACATACATACATACATACATACATACATACATACATACATACATACATAACAACACATGTATGCGTGGATACGTACTCAAGGAGAGAACAGCGAAACAGAGAACGAGAGAGAGAGAGAGCGAGCGAGAGAGACAGAGAGAGAGCGAGAAAGGGCGAGATGCACGCCTTCTCCTCATCCTCACCCTCATCCTCCCCCTCCCCAACATCTCCATCCTCATCCTTCTCCTGCTGCCCCTCCTCCGCATCCGCCTCCTCCTCCTCCTCATCATCCTCTTCATCCTCCTCCAGCCTCCTCCTCCTTCTCCTCCAGCCTTCTTCTCCTCCTCCTTCTCTTCCAGCCTCTTCTCCTCCTCCTCTCCTCCTCCTCCTTTTTCTCCTACTCCTTCTCCTCCTCCTCCTCCTCTTCCTCCTCCCCCTCCTCCCTCCCGCTCTCCCTGCTCCTCCTTGCTCGCAAGCTCTTTCTGCTCTCCAATCCTGGCCCTCTCTTGCTCCTTATCCTCCCCGTGGCTCCGCAGGTCCCTCCCTTCCTACAAAATCCTCCTCCGCGTCCTCCTCGTCATCATCATCAGCAGCAGCATCAGCAGCAGCACCCGTACCAGCTGAACATCATCAGTTGCAGCAGCATCAGCATCATCATCAGCACCATCACCACCAACAACATCATGCATCTGTGTACAGGTTAGTGAGTGCCAGGAGGGGGGCTGGGAAGCGTGGTCTTCCGTTATCATTGTGGCTCTAGGTCTCTCGTGTGTGTGTGTGAATCTCCTCACGGTATATTTCCACGGTGCAGTCACCAACGTGATAGGCACCTGGTTCTGCCATTGGGTGGCGCCGCAGCCTCTGCAGCGCCATTACACGGGCTCGGCGGCGGAGCCTGGCTTCATCGAGCTGCTGCAGTCGTAGCTCCACAGGTGCGGGCCCTCGAACCTCACGCTCGTCTGTGCGGCCTGCCCCGTCTGCCCAGCGCCTGGCTGGGGAACGGGCGACGTGCTGCTCGCTGGCCTGGTGGGAGTGATCGTGGGCGCGGAGTGTACCACGTGCTGGGCAGGCGCCCTGGACAGCGTACAGCGGGGGCATAGTCGAGACGCCCTGGCCCAACGTCACGCAGAGAGCGGACCCGGCCCCTCCAGGGCCTGTGAAGGGCAAGGGCAAGCTCGGGTTGACCGTGCAGGCCCAGCATGGCCTTTCGTGAGGCTGGCCCTTCAGCTTTTCTGTTCTATGTGGGGGACGACCTGTACCATGAGCGCATCATCCTGAGCTGGGTGTCTGCGGATGAGTATGTGGTGGACTCCCCCGACCTGGACTTTTTTTATTGAACAGATCGACGCCGTCAATGCCGGTTTGCAGGGTCTACGGCTGGGCGGCACCGACGGGCGGCTTCCCTTCAGCAAGGCTGGCATGCAGGTATACCGATTCCAGGTGCGCCCAGCGGGCATGGACTGGTCGCAGCGCCGGGCCAAGGGCGAACGCCTCGCCCAGGCCGAGAGGACCTCGCGAGGGCTGGCCGCGCCGCGTGGAGACATTGCTCGCGATGGCCCGTGGGGGGTGGCCCCTGCGGTCGCCTTGACGCCGCTGCCTGTGGTGGCGCCCCCTACCCCCGACGCGGCCGCGGCGCTGCCTCCGCCTCGCCTGGGGGGACCTGCTGGGGCGTGGGTGCTGGACGAACCCGTGGATGCCTTTGTGCTGGGGAAGGAGGTGCCGCTGTCGCCGGCGGCCCTAGACATCAGGGGCCGTGCCTTTGTGACTGTGACGGCGAGATCGTGTCTCCCACGAAGGTCGCGCCTGGCACGAACCTCACCGCCTGGGACCTGGGTCGCCCGCAGCCGCTGCTGAAGGACGTTCCGCGCCTGCTGAGCGGCCGCGCCCCCCGACGCCCGTGGCCTTCTCCGCCGATGCGGCCCTGGGCGCGCGCGACCCCAGCGTGCCCCTGTGCACCGAGGGCCCCGGGACGTGGCAGGACTCGGTGTACGAGATGTACATGTGCCCCCTCGGCGGCCTTACCGCGGTCCACGACGGGTGGCTGATGGAGTCGAAGGCGCCCGCTGGATCACGCTCCAGTCGTGAGCGTCGTGTCCTGTGTCGTGCCCTCACCTTTGCGATGGAGTCCGACGGGCTCAACACCGCGAACCTGCCGTGCTGCGAGTTCCTGAGCCGCCGCCGGATGTTGCTCGAGACGGCTCATCGTGATGATCCTGAGAAGCCAGCGTGCGATGGCTCGCACATCTACAAGGGCGAAGACGAGGGGGGCACGGGTGCGTCGGTGACGCCCGCCCTTCGGGCACACGTCGCATCCGAGTTGTCGAGGAAGCATGCGATCGAGAAGGAGAAGGGGGAGGCTCGGGAGGCCAAGGTGGCGGCGAAGTCGGCGGCGGCCCGGAAGAAGGGCCCGCCGCCGACACCACGACCGCCTCGGCCCAGGGGGGGGGATGGACACGATTCCCTCTGGCGACCCCCTTCCCGTCGCTAAATCCAGCCAGACACGCCGAGACCGTTGGCGCGGGGGAGACGCGCAACGCCGTGACGCCCCTCCGCCAGATCATGTTGGCCCGCGACCCTCAGGTGGCCCTTGTGAACTTTTTCCATTACCCTTCGTCGGCGCAGAGGGGCCTACGAGGGTGTGCGCCGGGACGTCCAGGACGGCCCGTCGCCGCAGCACTTACCGCCGGCTGGCCCTAGACGATGCAAACGACATGGTGGCCGCGCTCAACACCCTCTACGGCTGTGAGCGCGACGCGGTGGGGCCGGCGAGCCCAGCGCAGTCTTCGGTGCACGGACGCCTGCTGCACACCGCCAGGGAGGCCCGGCAGAATTTTGACCAACTTCTACCCCGTGAAGCTGCGGCTCAGCTTCTGGGACCTCGAATCGGTTATGGAGGTGGTGGTAGTGCAGTGCAACCCTATGACGCTGAGCGGCCACCTCTCCCACCCTCCGGGCGGGGCCCGGTGGACATCGCGAAGGTGTTGGACGAAGATGCTCGGAGGGTGCTCACCATTTTCGACAACCTCATTCTCGCGAGTCTGGACGTCGTGTCCGAGCGTAGGTAGCGAGCAGCCTCGCGCCCCTACTTCGACGTCACCCTACGGGCTGACAAGAAGGCCTATGTGGATTTTCTCCGGCGCCTGATGGATCGACGTCTACTTGGAGTGGCGTCGGAGTCGCTCAGTCTCGTGACCCCCTTCTTCGTGGCCAAGAAGAACGGGGAGCAGGGGCTCGCGCTGGACTGCCGGCTCGCTAACACCCTCTTCGCCCACGCCCCCACCGTCGAGATCGGGAGCTCCGAGGCGATGAGTGCCATCGAGTTGGAGCCCGGCCAGGAGTTGCACGCCGCCTCGGCCGACATCGAGGCCTGCTTCTACCAGTGCGGCGGCGTCGGGGAGCTGAGCAACTACTTATGCCTGCCCTCGGCGCCCGTCGACGTGGCCCTCGAGCTCGGCCTGGCCGTGGACATCCGCGGTCAGGACATCGCCGGACGCGA